TGACGTACCTTACGCCTGCGCACTAATAGCAAAGTGCGAACGTCTCTAGTCGAACGCTGGTCAAAATGTCATTACAAAACGTCTGGATCCTGGCTCCCTGCTGTACGTTATGAACGCGCGCGACTATGGTTACCAGTGAAGCAACCAACCCCAGTAGGTTTTGGTTCCAAATAGTCGACTAGTGTAGTTAACCATCGTCGACTAGACAGAGTTCGGGCAAGCGTTAGTCGACCAATGGTTAACTATAGTCCTTGCGCGAACTTGCCCCTTTGAGCGTTGTGAGTTCGCTGCCCGCCACGTATAATTCAGTGTCGCGTTGATAATTTCGGGGGCCTGTTTGGGATTAGCCTTGGTCAATGCTCTCGTCGTTATTCGTCCCGTACGCGGTCAATCGTCGGCATATATGGGTGCAGACCAGTAAATCGGTCCGAAATTGCCTGCGCCGGCCAAATCACGATTTGCATGCCCTCAAAATCTTCGGTATTTGGGCATGCTTTGGGCCATGAACTTGAGGGTTTGTAAAAAAATATGGGTGGAAGCCGTGCACAGGACTGGGAGCTTGCAGTTCTGTGTAATTTTGATGTAATTTGGACCCTAAAAGCGCTCTATTTTGCAATGGAGTGTAGGCATCGTTTTTCAAAATGGCGATGGGCTTCAGTACTATTTTCAGGGGTGATCATCTTCAGATGGAAATTTCCCCTAAAAGTCATCAGTTGACCCCCCGAAAATTGAAAAGAAAATGAAAGATGATGAAATAAGCTTAAATTTGATGTGCGTCTCGAACACCTTGGAGAGTTGTGAGTATTTTTCCCGAATTTTTGAAGTGGGAGCATTTACCATTGGGGTCTATGGAAGTTTATTTACTGGTCTGCTACCTGTAGTTTCAAAATGGCGCCTTCCATCGTTTGTTGTCAAATGTTTGCGGAGTGTTTTTTTTCAGGGGGGCGGAACCGGGGGGGGGGGGGGGCAGCGTTTCAAAACCGGGTCACCAATGGCGGTTCCGCAACAAATGCGCCCAAAATCTGAATAGGGCCGATGGACCGTCGTCCGATCACAGCAATTTCGAGCGAACAAAGGGGGGGGGGGGGGATTTGGGGTCGGAAAGAGCAAAAACTCAATTAACGCCCGTTGGGGGCGCCCTACAGTAAGGAAGCCGCAAACAGAGGGCTTGTTTTCAGGCCAGAAATCGCAGTCAGAGATTTTTTTTCTTGCAATCGTTGGATGAAATATGAGTCATCCATCCTTCCTCGTGCCGTACAAGTGGTTTGGGGAAATTTTTCAAAACCTCGCTTCTCTATAGGGTGCAGACCAGTAAATCGGTCCGAAATTGCCTGCGCCGGCCAAATCACGATTTGCATGCCCTCAAAATCTTCGGTATTTGGGCATGCTTTGGGCCATGAACTTGAGGGTTTGTAAAAAATATGGGTGGAAGCCGTGCACAGGACTGGGAGCTTGCAGTTCTGTGTAATTTTGATGTAATTTGGACCCTAAAAGCGCTCTATTTTGCAATGGAGTGTAGGCATCGTTTTTCAAAATGGCGATGGGCTTCAGTACTATTTTCAGGGGTGATCATCTTCAGATGGAAATTTCCCCTAAAAGTCATCAGTTGACCCCCCGAAAATTGAAAAGAAAATGAAAGATGATGAAATAAGCTTAAATTTGATGTGCGTCTCGAACACCTTGGAGAGTTGTGAGTATTTTTCCCGAATTTTTGAAGTGGGAGCATTTACCATTGGGGTCTATGGAAGTTTATTTACTGGTCTGCTACCATATCCTCACGCGCTATGCACATGCATGTAAAAATACAGCGCGAACAGCGACCTCACGCGGCCACTATTTTTATGCAATTCAGTTGAGACGATGTCGTCTCCAACTGATTTGCATAAAAATAGTGGCCGCGTGAGGTCGCTGTTCGCGCTGTATTTTTACATGCATGTGCATAGCGCGTGAGGATATAATGCCGACGATTGACCGCGTACGGGACGAATAACGACGAGAGCATTGACCAAGGCTAGTTTGGGATCAACGAAGGATCGATGCATTGCTTCAACTTATCGCGATCTTAAACGCAGTCACAAAAAAATCGACGAAAAAGTGTCCGACCCGGCGGAAGACACCCTCCACATTTTTCCATGGACGTGGAGCCATTTTGGCGTCGCGGGAGACCGCGGTCTCGGATCCTTTCACTAGTTTCAGGAGCAAACATTTCTCGGAGGCCGAGTAAAACTTGCTCTTATATAGATGGTTGAACCAACTTGAATACAAGTTGAATCGACTTTTTCCTCGCAGACGGTCTGGCAAATTGTAAGAAGTTCAAGTTTACGTTTGTTGAAGAGTCCAATACTGAAACTTAATTATGACCTTCCTCCATGATTCAGACTTTGTAATTTTATGGTAACACTCAACATTTTCATTTCAAATGACACCTTCACGTTTTATTTTATTATGATTTATTGTCAAAACTGTACAATCAGCCTTCCCCTGTGTACTACGGTAACCTGTTCGTTTTCCAAATGCGACTGCCTCACAAAAGGCCAATTTAACAGACCAACGGGAACATTTACAGACAGTTATGGTACATAATTATCATGTGCGTAAATCGACGGGGGACAGGGGTGGGGGACATTGTTTGGTCCCCCTTCCCCCACTTTTCTTCCCGAATAAAAATTGTAGCCTACAATAATGATTCTACTGCTCAGAATACATGTAGCTGATTCAATTACTCCAAACTCAAAACTGTAAAAGATGATGTTTCGCTGAAATTGATTTTAGTGGTCAGAAATTGCCTCAGAACACACCACAGAAATTGCTTTTCTATAACTGCATGTCTCCTCAACTATATCCCCCATTTACATTTAACTCCCCACATTTTCATCCCCAACACTACGCCCTACCCGATCTATGATCGGGTAAATCAGCTTGTATATAATAAGCGGTATATTGCACGTCGTTGATCGTTTTTCATTATAAACCGCAGAAAGTGTAAAGTCGTGTAGTATGATCATGGTTTATGAACCATGAAATTGCACATCGTTGATCGTTTCTCATTATTATATACCTTAGAAAAGTGTAATAGTGTGTAGTTTCCATTGTTTATAAACCATGAAATTGCACGTGGTTGATAGTTGTCATTATATAAACCATAGAAAAGTGTCAAGTCATGTAGTTTTCATTGTTTATAAACCATACAATTGCACTTCGTTGATCGTTGTTCACTATTTATAAACCATATAAGCGTACAAGTGTGTAGTTTTCATGGTTTGAAAACCATGAATTTGCACACCTTGCCAGTTTCCATTATTTTGTAAACAATGACTTTATGTTTTTCATGGTTTGAAATCATAACGTTAATACAAAAAGTGTTTTAATGGTTTGCAAACAATGAAACAAATCTATTGTTCACATACAATTGAGCTTAACCATGTTAAAAACATGTTTAAAGTTGGCTAAATAAGTATTTGACAAACGGCGCTCCATATGTGTTCGGTTCTTGGTCTTGCAATCTCACAATGCAAGATTGAAGTATCAGGGAAAGACGTCTTTCTATGAAGCCCGGCTTCATACCAATAGGATTTGCACGTTCTCCTTATCCAGACTTTTTTCCTGGTTTAATCCTTGGACCTAACCAGGCCATCTTTATACCTTTGTGCCGTTTGTATGCCATCATAGGTTGCATTTCGACTGCATTTAGATATTCATTTTCGCTGATCAAAATGTCGGTGTTCAGGGGCGTAAATCCGGCCGTGAGGAGGGATGCAAGGGCGGATCCAGAACAATTTTTTTTGGGGGGGGGCAAAACAATTTAGGATTCTAGATGCTGTGGTGCGATCTGAGGCAATTTCTGACCACTTTGACCATTTTTTTTAAGGAAAAGATGGTGGTGTACGCAGTGCCTGCCTTTATTGCGACGTCACTAAAAAAAAATTGGGTTCGTTTTTTTGTTTTGTTTTTGTGGGGGGGGGGTGGCCTCCGTTTCCCCCCCCCCCCCCCCGATCCGCCCTTGGAGGGATAGGGGTATATATCCCCCCAATTTTTGATCAAGGGGGACTGGGCTGTTGGACATGGGCGTCGCCAGGATTTGTTTCTAGAGGGGGGCAAAACATATTTTTCCCCCCAAAAATTCTGTATTTCTCAACATAAAATTATTCTCGATTTATCACTTTTTAGAGGGGGGCAGAGACATTCCCCCCCCCCCCATTAAATTTACACCACTATGACTTCGCGCCTCTTTTTCTTTTCTTTTTTTCTCTTTTTTTTCTTCCTTTTTTTTAAATTTTTTTTTTGCTTTTCCGGGGGGGGGGGGGGCAAGCGCCCCCCTTGCCCCCCCCCCCCTCGCGACGCCCCTGCTGTTGGATCAAACCCCACTGACCCCTTGCCCACGTGGTGAGAAGACAAAAAGGGCAGATTTTGAGGTATTTTTAAACTTCCCTACAACCAAAATGTTTTCAATAGAGTACTCAAAAAGGGAGAAAAAGTACAACTTTAAATGCGCCGTTTTGATTTATATTAAAGTCAAGGGGCGTAGGTTGATGTACTAAACAACTTCCCCTTTGAATTCCGGATTTCTGTGATAAATTATCACGGTAACGCGGTAACGAGGAAGGGATTATCTTAGAATTCCAGATTTTTGTTATAAATTATCACAGTAGCGCGGTAACGAGGAAGGGATTATCTTTGAGTTCCAGATTTCTGTCGGACAAATAATCACCGTAAGTAACGCGGTATCGCGGAATATATGAATTCCTGATTTCTATGATAACTTATCACGGTAACGCGGTATCGAGGAAAAGGTATCTTTGAATTCCGGATTTCTGTGATAAATTATCACGGTGACGCGGTATCGCCGCGCGGAAGGCAATTCAAGCTTTTTTGATGCTTATATCCGATACCAGGGTGAGAGAGCAGGTAGTGGTGGGCGCGTACTGCTCGACACCCTGGGGACGAGGTTGAGATCGCGTTGAATTGTTGCTTGGCGACGTGTGATATACACACATAAGTGTATGCCGCGCCGCGCGGTACGCGACGGTGCTATTGAGCATCATCAACAAAACGACGTCAACAAGCTCAATTAGCGCATAGCGCATGCACATGCAGCTAGCTGATAACTGCTGAAGTTACTAAAAAAAAGGCTGGATGGACCATTGATCGTGTCAAAATCAACAAGATATATTTGGAAAAGTGTTCGTTGCACTAGTACAGTACTACGTGGAATTAAGTTGTCTGTAAGTAAAAAAGTAGCCTAGCCTACAGTCGTTTTCCTAGCCCCATAAATGTGGCCAATTTTTTTATTTACTGGACTACCGCCGTACATATTAAAGGCCACTTGGACCATGTACTCAAACATGTAAAACTTTGTCAAGTTTTTATTTTCACATTTAGACTTTATTTGTAGTTTATTTACACTTTAGAACTAAGCACACTCACCCTCTGTAAAGCAATAGAAAATAAGTCCCCTCTTTTTCAGATGTCTATTTTTCATGTGGTGCTACCCTAGCTGGAGTTACCCAGCCCTGAGTTTTATCATTTGGTTGTCTATAACTAAAAAGGGCTGGAGCGAATTTTTCTCGTAACTTGTAGTATTTCCAAAAAAATTTGAAAAATGTTCAATTTTGTCCCTGTTACACACTAATTGCAACTGCAACTCACCCCAAACTTGCCTGGAATAACCATTACACAGGTCCTTGAAGTAAAAAACGATCCACGATGAAGATTCAGCCTACAATTGCAGTGAAAACAGGAGGAATAACCGCTAACTTGACAACCTTGCTGGATTGGCCAGGACCGCCATTGGTTTGTGCACAAAAAAATTGTGTACAATGAATGGCGGTCGATTAACAGGCACAGAGAGAGCGATCGCTGTCAACTACTCGTTTTTGCCGGCTGCGCTGGCTGTTGGCGCATGACGTCACGCGGAAGCGTAACACCCGATGACTGTTTCATGCCCTATTGGTTGCGGTTCCAGTACAAAAGCTGTGATGCGAGTGGTAAACCTCATATTAGTGCATGAAACAGTCATCAGGTGTTACGCTTCCGCGTGACGTCATGCGCCAACAGCCAGCGCAGCCGGCAAAAACGAGTAGTTGACAGCGATCGCTCTCTCTGTGCCTGTTAATCGACCGCCATTCATTGTACACAATTTTTTTTGTGCACAAACCAATGGCGGTCCTGGCCAATCCAGCAAGGTTGTCAAGTTAGCGGTTATTCCTCCTGTTTTCACTGCAATTGTAGGCTAAATCTTCATCGTGGATCGTTTTTTTACTTCAAGGACCTGTGTAATGGTTATTCCAGGCAAGTTTGGGGTGAGTTGCAGTTGCAATTAGTGTGTAACGGGGACAAAATTGAACATTTTCCAAAATTTTTTGGAAATACTACAAGTTATGAGAAAAATGCGCTCCAGCCCTTATAGACAACCCAATGATAAAACTCAGGGCTGGGTAACTCCAGCTAGTGCTACCCTAACGTGGCGCACTTCGACGTTTAGGCCTACCCAACATTCCTCGTGTAGTGTTGCCAAACCTATTTGGTGACAAACCTCAAATTCATGCAGTGAAATACTGGTTCTTTGACCTTATTAATTCTCACTATTTAACCTCTGTGAACAATTTCTGTTTCATGAAATTTAATCCGTAATTCAAATACGGTAGCGTCCGGAAATTGGGCTCAAATTTGCGGAGTGTTCCCTATCGTGGTGCGCTTAAATAAATCTCAAAAAAATCACGCCAAAATAAATTTTTCTTCTGACTTTGTAATGGGTAAATAAACTCGCGATTTATGAATGGGAGTGCTTTGAACTTGATATTTAGACGTCTAGAAATATAGACGTCTGAAAAGGGAAGACTAATTTTCTATTGCTTTAATTTTAAAGAGGGTGAGTGTGCTTCTAATATGCGTAAATATAAAATTACAAATAAAGTCTAAATGTGGAAATGAAAACTTGACGAAGTTCTACACGTTCAGGTACATGGTCCAAGTGTGGCCTTTATTGACAGAGGTAGGCCTAGTCCAGTAAATCGGCCACATTTATGGGGCTATCGTTTTCCTAGTTCCGGAACGCACTCATTATTCAGTCTGCTTTCAGCTCAACAAATCCACGAATTCAAGTGACATTGGATAAAAAGTTTACCTTGAATGATGAAGATACTACAAATAGTTTTCCAAATTTAAGCTCTTTTAAGTTTGACTTTGCAACGTCAAAAGTACGGATGCCACTTTTCGACCTAGTTCCAGATTACACCTAAAACTATGGCCTATGGCATTTTGCGTAGCAGAACCCCATAGTTCTAGGGGTAGGCCTAGTTCTGGATCGGTTTAATCAGTTCCGAATTGATCAAAAACCGCTTCGCGTGAAAAAAAAAAAAAAAAACCACCCCGAATCAAGCACATTTTAGTGATAGTATTTTAGCTTGATGCTTGATACCTGTATGTAGACTCCTAAAAAGCAGTGTTGCTTGTCCAAGGAGAAGTCGAGGTGACTCAAGTTGTTTGTTGAGTAACTCTAGCTCCAATGCTCATCGCATTCGAGCTGGAGCTACATCTACGTCATAAAAACTAGATCTTAAGAGGCCCAAAAAATTTGACCCTATACCTGTATCATTCTATATATCCCCAGTGTGGAGCGGGGAAAACGTGGAGCGATGCACAGTGTAACGCGGTACTGTCATGAGATACGATGCACAACAGCCGCGCGTGTTACAGGACATTTCATATTTTAGATTTTCTTGTTCTGTTTGAGGTCGATTATTAGCTTCAGGAATGACTGCTGCATGGTATGAGGTATGTTGAATGGAATCTGGGTTGAGATAATAGAGGGAAAATAGACCATTTGTGTGATACACTGGGGATATATATAGAATGTGTATATTATATAGGTATAGGGTCGCGTTTTTCGGCCTGTTACGATCTAGTTTTTATAACGTTGTTGTGGCTCCAGCTCTATGCGATGAGCATTGGAGCTGGAGTTACTCAAGCTAATAATAGTATTTATTTTTTTGAAAAAATAGTTCATTCAAGAGAATTCCAGCAAATTTCAAAAAGAGAATTAACGTAAAATGATTTTGAAAACTTTTGTCTGTAGCGCGACAACACGAACACACGCCTGGACCAAAAACCTTTGACCCATCACAGAATACGTCATATAAAATCGATGAAACGTGCATGTAGTTGGGTCCTACGTGCACGTGCGTTAAGGAACTAGGCAAAAACATACGGTCATTCGTTGGCAAATTTTCAAATGTTAGAGACTCTACAACTTATTTACTCAAAATGACGGTACTCGGGCATCAAAGTACTCGTACTCAACATGTCAAAATTGTACTCGATCATTAAGGTACTTGTACTCAAATAGCAGTACTCGAAATCGAAGATACCTGACTTTCCTTTGCGCACGTTCGGACAAACGCAAATAGCTCAGGTTCGACTCCTTTGTCGTGCACATGTGACGGAGTCCAGGGTATGAACTTCTGCTGCCCTAACTCCCTAGGCCTTTTTGCTAGGATGTAGCCTCAATCCTGCAAAATCCTCCAATTGGCCTCATGGAAAAATAGCATATAGCCTCAATCCCGCAAATTCCTCCATTATTTCTTGAATATGGTCCATGGAGGGGTGACCACTGCCTGAATCCTGCAAAATCCTGTGGCAGTGACTGTCATATGTTGAGGCTTGGCCAGTGACATCCTGGAGTAGTACAAAGGATTTCAAGCATAATCCAGGCCTATATTTATGCATGCGGCTTAGCAAAAACAACACAAGGTCAGGCCCAAGACCTTTACAAAGTGCATCCTACGAAATCAGTAACGCACTTTTGCCATGTAATTAACCTCAATCCTCCAAATTCCTCCACTTTGGCAAAGAGGATTTTGAAGGATTCAGGGCGGTTAGGGTTTTAATTAATGATATAATGAACATTTTGGCTAGATCCGGCAGATTTTGTATTAATGAGAGTCGACTGTGTGTCGGTAGGCGACGTGTTTACCGAAAATATATCACAGATCCACGCTTTCATCGTAAACATTTTCAGTACGAACTTACTGTGTGAAGACTTATGCGTGCATGCCACACAGTTGGTACTCGACACGAGGAATATGTAAATGAAATGTCAGCTTCCTCCATCAGGAAAAAATATGAAAAACAATACAGTTGTAGTTGTATTTTTTTCACTATGTCAGCAAAGTTCCTACCCTGGACGTCGAACGTAATGCAATGAAGACGTTGTCCAACCTGGGCAAATCATGTATGTATGTTACAAAGAGATTCCTGCCAAACTTGTGTTGAATTAGACATTTATTCTGGTGCTTACTTGGATTGTTTTGTTTTGGTCATTTTCCAAATAGTACACAAGCAAGCAAGTTTCTAGACAGCTTCAAGATGCCTCCGGGTGAGAAGGGATCTGGAAAGAATGACATGGAACGGATTGGCCTGTTCCAGGAGATGGAATATGTGACCATTGGTGATAAATACAAAATGCCTGGAACAAGTAAGTTTGTGTAGTATTTTCTTGTCATATATTGTAATTGTGCCATTAAAGGTAATAAACAACATTTGCTTCTGCTGTATACTTTCCAGAAATGGATGGATTTGGGGTCAATGTTATATAGCAAATACATAAAATGTTACACTGACCTGTTCAAAGTTTTGTGATCATAGATGCTGGAAAAACCAAGAACAAAAAACGCTATTCTTGTAGGCTGGTTCCCTGATCCTACTTCAAAAGAAACAAAGCAATTTATAGATGTCAGGGAATTGTCAGGTCAGGGAACCAGACTAGCTGGCTTCAGTGCACCCGTTCATGGATGTGTAACTGATTGCAAACAAAATATGGACTAAGTAAGTTCGGTAAATTGGGGTTAATATTTTAAAAAGTCAGTTTTGTATACAAAAATTCCACTTTCATGAAAATGACAGCACACCAGGTGCCTGTTTTCACAGGATGCTTTAGACTATTATTCACTTGCAGTCCAGTAAAGGTATTTCATAATAAATTGTGGTTTTTTTTGTTTTAATGTTTTAATATGTTGTTCATACCTGTGACTTTTGTTTGTAAACTAGCAGAATTTCCAAAGCAACGTATTAAGGATTTAATATTGAGTCTCAAATTCCAAACCATTTATCCTAGCATTACAGTATGAAAATTGTGGTTTGTATTTTTACGTTGTTTTGTTAACTTATTTTTTTTTTGGTAGAAGCCTTCAATGTCACGGCTTATAATGGTAAACAGATGTTGCCTGGTGGTAGTAAGGTCAGGACAGCAGGACAAGGGGGCTACTTTAGTGAGAAGTTCACACGCATCATGGAGGCTGAGGCCTACAGTGACCCTGTTAAGATGCGACGTCAGTACAAGCTGAAAGAGGCCAAAAAGAACATTGGAAAGGCATTTCTGCCAAGCAGTGGGACCAAAATGCAGTGAGTTATTAATTCAGTCTTGTTATATCTTGAAGAACAATAAAAAGTATTTACTGTATTAATAGACATGATTTATTGTTGTAATTTGTAAAAACTACACCTAACATATGGTATAAAATAAACATTGATTACTAAGAATGTTTTTGTACCCTCAGACCTTAGACAGATTCTGTGTGTTTTACAGTTGATAAGTGATCAAACATTGCCTTACGAGAAATATAATTCTGCCTATAGTGCTGACTTGATTGGTTTACCTGGCAAACACTCCACCCAAAAGACATTAATTTATACTACTGAATAACCGCATAGTTTGTTGGGCATGGGCAACTAGTGTTCCCCTAAAGCATCATAGCTAGCATAGCAGTCCCACTACGTTTTACCAAGGTTTGGACAATCTTTCATTTAGAGTCCTACTCACTGTCTTTTACTGCTATGCTACTGCAATGCTGGCTATTTTCCTTTAAACTAACTAAAATATTTACATGGCACTCCTGTTCAAAGTTCCTGATGATCCAGTCCAGCCCTGGCCTGACTTGATGATAAAGCGCAATTACATACACTGAATGGTCATTCATACTGTATACCAGGCCAAGAAAGGAAACCACAGCAAAACAGTCCTGAGTTTCAGCCGCCTGCTATTTTAGTCAGTCCCATTTTACATGTATCATCAGCTGCTGAATCCAGAGCCGTGAGCATAGATGTGTGCACCTTCCCGGAATAAACAATTAAAAGTTTCACAAATTTAGTCAACTCCACGGATCCAGTAACATACAAAATGTTTTTATCATTCTTCGGATTTGACACAATCAGGTTGGAAGGGGAAAGTCTTTGGTGTTTTCAACTGTTTTGCATTTCTCCCAAGCTACATTGGCACGGTGTGAAGTACAAATGTCAAATGTGTACACCACCTGTACAATGTGAAAGGACTTTTTTAATGATGGGTGTGCAGCAATACCATGTATACAGTTGATTCCTGTAGTATGAACTAAGCAGTGTGAGCGGCCCTGGTTTGATTGCCTTGCCAAAGTAGTCTTTATTTCCAAACAGGGACGCAGTCCACCACGAGATATAATAATCATAATAATATACATAACGTGTCTCCTTTACCATTGTACGTATAATATAAACAATAAAAATAATCTTAATGATTACTGATAATGGGCCACTCCATCCCAATCTGCTGTGCTTCCTCCCTCCATGCTCCAACCAACCCTGTCACACTCGCCCTTCTGCACTCCAAACTGCCTCGTTCCATCCCTCCATCCTGCCCTCCCTACCTCTATGCTCCAGTTAGCCCTGTCGCACTCACCCTGCTGTGCTCCATCACTCCATCCTGCCCTCCCTCCCTCTATGCTTCAGTTAGCCCTGTCACACTCGCCCTGCTGCGCTCCACCCTGCCTCGCTCCATCACTCCATCCTGTGATCCCTCCCTCTATGCTCCAGTTAGCCCTGTCACACTCACCCTGCTGCGCTCCACCCTGCCTCGCTCCATCCCTCCATCCTGCCCTCCCTCCCTCTATGCTTCAGTTAGCCCTGTCACACTCACCCTGCTGCGCTCCACCCTGCCTCGCTCCATCCCTCCATCCTGCCCTCCCTCCCTCTATGCTTCAGTTAGCCCTGTCACACTCACCCTGCTGCGCTCCACCCTGCCTCGCTCCATCACTCCATCCTGTGATCCCTCCCTCTATGCTCCAGTTAGCCCTGTCACACTCGCCCTGCTGCGCTCCACCCTGCCTCGCTCCATCACTCCATCCTGTGCTCCCTCCCCCTATGCTCCAGTTAGCCCTGTCACACTCACCCTGCTGCGCTCCACCCTGCCTCGCTCCATCCCTCCATCCTGCCCTCCCTACCTCTATGCTCCAGTTAGCCCTGTCGCACTCACCCTGCTGCGCTCCATCCCTCCATCCTGCCCTCCTCCCTCTATGCTTCAGTTAGCCCTGTCACACTCACCCTGCTGCGCTCCACCCTGCCTCGCTCCATCCCTCCATCCTGTGATCCCTCCCTCTATGCTCCAGTTAGCCCTGTCACACTCACCCTGCTGCGCTCCACCCTGCCTCGCTCCATCCCTCCATCCTGCCCTCCCTCCCTCTATGCTTCAGTTAGCCCTGTCACACTCACCCTGCTGCGCTCCACCCTGCCTCGCTCCATCCCTCCATCCTGCCCTCCCTCCCTCTATGCTTCAGTTAGCCCTGTCACACTCACCCTGCTGCGCTCCACCCTGCCTCGCTCCATCACTCCATCCTGTGATCCCTCCCTCTATGCTCCAGTTAGCCCTGTCACACTCACCCTGCTGCGCTCCACCCTGCCTCGCTCCATCACTCCATCCTGTGCTCCCTCCCCCTATGCTCCAGTTAGCCCTGTCACACTCACCCTGCCTCGCTCCATCCCTCCATCCTGCCCTCCCTCCCTCTATGCTTCAGTTAGCCCTGTCACACTCACCCTGCTGCGCTCCACCCTGTCTCGCTCCATCCCTCCATCCTGCCCTCCCTCCCTCTATGCTTCATTTAGCCCTGTCACACTCGCCCTGCTGCGCTCCACCCTGTCTCGCTCCATCCCTCCATCCTGTGCTCCCTCCCCCTATGCTCCAGTTAGCCCTGTCACACTCGCCCTTCTGCCCTCCACATACGGTACCTGCCAACTATTCTGAATTTGGTGGAATCATTACAAAAATACAAGCTATATTCCACATTACGAATTTATCGCCCTTTATTACAAATTTTTCCTCAAATTTGTTTACATTGTTAATTAAATACTGTGATTTTATGAATCAAAACGCTGAAAAATCAGATATAAGCCGCGTCCGAATTATTGGCTATGGCTTGAAACTCAACATGGATAGCATCATGCATCTCAGAAAAATATATGCACATGTATAATCATTGTTATTTATTTCACTTCTTGAAAAGAATGGTATTCACATGTATACCATGTACCTGTACGTGATATTGGTATAGCTGGTACATGCACTGTTAATGTATGCGCAGTTGTAAATGACCATGCAGGTTGATTACTCATTTGGAATTTGAAAAGTTGGCAGCTATGCAGTGCCATGTTCCACCTTGCTGTGCCCCAATCCGCCCTTTAAATTGTCTGTATGAGTATTATATCACAAAAGTTCAATATTCTGTTCAGCAGCTAATATTTGCATTGTACCATAAATAGAGGCTAGCAGTCTCTGATACATATATTTTTGTATTTCAGAAGCGGTCTTGGCAATCATTACGGCACGCTAGGTGGTCCTGTACCAGCATTCAGTCCAGTTAAAAAAACAGGAAAACCTTACACATCAGATGGACGGAACTTCACTACAAATCCGGGGAAAATAGGAACAGGATATGGGTGAGCTAGTGTAACCAATTTTTGTCGTTGAAACTTTTTTACATCGGTTCTTTTCGTTGGTTTGTTTTCACCTTCAAATTTCTTCTTCCACAGGTACCCCTCATTAACAATAGGCAAGGGATATAACTACTCATCAAACCCATATGATAAAGGCAAAGAGTTGAGAAGGGTAAGTACCTTTAAGTAAAACAGAAGTTCAAAATTCCTAGCTGTTTTTTATTGTCCTGATCACTGCATTTAGACATTCCCGTTCCTTAGACCTATGGGTTGCTTGTCAAAACTTTGTGTACTTGACCAAAATTCTAAATTAAATTGTCCCAATTGTATTCAATAGGGATTCATCTCCAAATTGGAACCAACTGAACTCTCCCAATTGGACGTTCATTATCATTTGGAGTTTTTGTGTGAATAATCCCAAGTGCAATTTCATACTTCAAACTCATATTCATAATACCTATGACAGTTTACTCATTGCTATTGGTCAACAGCCATCATGTGGGTGGTTTTAAACGGTTGATAAAACACCGGCTGGCTGGTTTTAAACACTTTTCCAGTGTCACATGAAACTTGGACTGCTACCACTGCTGTTCCAGAGGCTCACAGTGCAACATTAGGTTTATGCGCATGCGCCAGTTTTTCCTGGCTGTGCTGTAAAATGAATATTCTTGAGCTCGTTCATAAAAACAAATCACTGAGAACGGCCTTCCAAAAAACTGCTCATAATGCACGAAATGGTTATTGAAGCCATAAGATTTGTCCCAAAGTAACTTAAAAAATAAATATCTTTAGCATCTACAGTCGACTCCCGTTATAACGAGCTCGGTCATAACGATAACCCGGATGTAACGAGCACATTCTCCCAGTCCCGATCAATTTGTGTACATTACTATGGGGAAATATTTGGTTATTACGTGCACGGACATAACGAGACTTCGGCTATTACGACGATTTTGGCTGACCCAATGCGAGGAAAAGCATTGTTCTCAACCCATTTACAACGACATCTTTTCAAAACTACGGGCATTGCAGCTTGTCAACGACAGACCTTTTGTCCCGAAACGGGTATCATGCTCCCGTCTTCCAATTCAAGCAACACACTTAAGCTTCACCCATCAATGTACCTTTGTAAAGACTTCAACCCAACGTTATTTAATCTCGCCGATCTTTATAAATAAATTCAATGGGACTGTGATAATCGGCGCAGTGGACCGCTGGTCTAGTCGCTAATCCCCCGCTGCGGCTTCCCTTAGCGTGACCAGGTTTGAAGTTTGCTTAAGACTGCGGTACCACGTTTCTATATTATTACAAACTAACAATAGGGGGCGCTCAGGAGTTAACTAACATTGTAAGGAATAGCCTTTAGTACTGCCGCCCGAACATCGGGTGCGTAATTGCTCCCTATTGTTGGCTTGTGGCTATAAAAAAAAAATACGAAGTAAAGAACACAGCATCACAAAACAAACGGCTCTTTTCAGAGCCACCACAACTTCCAAAAAGAGATAATTCAGTCTGTCTTCAAAAAATAAAGTTTAAAACATACCGTGGTTCCCACCCCCAAAAAAGAATCTGAAGAATAAAAAAATTAAAATCTTAAACAAATTAAGAACCGCCTCCGGCCCCGCCGAAAAAACAATCCCAATGAAAACAGGTTTCCAAGATCTTCAAACGCCCCACCACATACACATTGTACAAATTTTAATCCAAAATTATTACTTTTGTTTGTTTATTATTATTATCTTAAAAGAATCCCTCCTGACAAACAATAATCACCAATTGCTGCGAAATTACACATGGAGACACTTAAACAAGGAAGTAATATTAGCGCCCTCCCTTGCCCGATTCCAGCAAATGCAAAACGAATGCAAAACGAAAGCAAAATGTCAATTGGCACGAATGTGCGCTATAGTTAACCGAAATAATTACAATTTCAAAGAATCCCTTCAGAAACAATAATACCCAACTGTTCCAAAAAGTCAACAACCAAAAGGCATCTAAGGATCAGGAGTCATTAAAACCCGGAAGTAATGCATGTATTGGCGCCCTCTCTTGCCCGATTCCAGCAAATGCAAAATGAAAGCAAAATGTCACTCGGCATGATTTGTGCGAGTGACCTACTTGCCTGATTCTTCTCAGCGATGATGCCTTTTCCTCCGGATTCAGGTCCTCAAATATTGAACAATGTTCCCTTAAAGGTATTTTATTTATTTCATTTATTCATCACCATCAGTTAAATATTTAATATACATTATTAACAGACGTACATACCAACAAATGACCATCTTTTCATGTCTTCGGACGTGCGTTACACGATTAAAACACGCACGCACATGTACCGTACTTTGTGCACAACGAATGGGCAAAAACTGCGCTCCGGTTTTAGCGAGGTTCCGGCTATAACGACAGTATTGTGAAAGTCCATCGGACCTCGTTATAACGGGAGCCGACTGTATATCAAACTTTTTAAATGCGATGCCGTTATTTTCGTGAAATACCAAAAAATGGAGTCCTCTTTTACTGAACGAAGGCTAGCAACCAGCGAAAAAAAGGGTCCAAAATAAAGCTTTTTTCTGCAATCAAGTAAGTTAAGCTAATATTAAGACTGCCATGAAAACATCAATTAGACTTTAAATTTTGTATTAACGGTGATTTCAAAAGAGCAAACTTCTAAACTCACCCTGGTGGGTTTACTGAACACGGAGTGTGGTTTTCACACTCAACTGCACAATATAACACAGTACACGGGGTTCGCAATTCAAACAAGTGGGCCTACCACGCCGACGCGTGATTGGCCTGTGCCCCGCGTGTATACATTTCCAAGGGATGGGGATATATGCGTAGTCTCTGCTATATGGATTTGTGCACATAAGGCGCTGTTTGTTTACATTCAGTGTATGTATTTAATAGCTACATACGTGGCTCCATCAGGGTTTGCTCTCAAAAGTCTTCCACAGTGGTATTCTCCTTTTATTTAGTCTTTCCAATGGTAAGACTAATTACTTGATTCGGAATGAACTTTCCATGATGACGAAACCGGTTCCGATTGAGACATTTATAGACGTTGCAATCAAAGGTAATTTTATGGAGGTGTTTTCTCAAGTGTCTTGCCGAAAAGTTCACAGTCCTATCTGATAGAAAATTATAGTCCTTTTTCTGTTGATTCAGATGTTTACTACTACTCCCGAGAGGCACGTACCATAATGCATTGAACATGTTGAACAAAATCGTTGGAAATATATAATTTATGACTTGTTTGACTTTTTGACACAAAGGTATTTATGAATGGGAATAAATATGTGCTCGGTCGGTATAAAACAAGTAAGCTTAAAACTGGCTTGGGGCCTGGTCACTATTAAGGTCCCTTGCCTTTGGCTTGGGCAATTATCAGCATCCAGGCCCCTAGCAGGTTTTAAACGTACTTGTTTAAAACTGGCCAAGCACATATTTATTACCTTAGTAATCCTCACTAATGCTTCTTAATCATAATTATGACCACTTGCTGATTAATAGCCTACATAGAACATAGTCCTACATCATGGGAGTTACATTATTCCTACTCAGTGAACAAAATCTTGTTTGTTGGCTTATATGCTTTTTAAGTCATTAAGCAATGAAAAACATTCTTTCTGGAATAAATCTCTAAATTTGTGGATTTTGTTTGTACAATAAATTCCTTAATTTTTTTCCATTTTTTACAGACTTAAAGAGGTGATCCCAGTTAAAAAAATCCATTTATTTTTGGTGTTTGTTTACATTAGTTGCAAAGAATCGTCTTGTATAAACTGAAGCGGAAGATACTACAAGTAATATGATATAAACCTGACATTCTTTTAAAAAAAATACTTGCAGAAACAGCTGGAGGCCCATAAGAGTGCTACTAAAGGAGGCGCCTTCAAGCTAGGAATGCACCCCAAGGCCGTATTTGATTCCGATCCTTATGCCACTGATAAACCATTGCCACCAATCAAGAAACTTGGAACCCCAAAGAGAGATGTCAAACCATTCAAGCCTAGTCATCCTGCAAAAGAGGTAAGATATGTCATGCTACACAGAGTACACTACATAGTAAGACCAGAAGCTATGTTAACCAATAGTATATTGACTCTAGTCAATTAGAGTTGATCAATTGTTTGCATAAATCATCCAGGTGACCTCAACCCCAACTGGGTGGAAAGGATGGTGACAGATATATGGGTCATTCCACCGGGTTGGGGAACAATGTGTGACATATGACCATATTAAGAAAAGCATATATGCCTTGCTAGCAGTTGCTCTACATAATATTTCTTGTTGGGTGTTTCACTACTGCAAAAAGGTCTAAATCATTTCAATGTATTTTGCCAAAAATATGAGCAAAAATGTCATTTTGGACGTAACATTAACACCGTGTCAATGTTACGTCCAAATATGACATTTGTACCTTTTTTTAAATTTCTGTGAAACATTACCCAAATTCGCTTTACGTACTTCTTACTATTAATGCAACACAATAAGAAAAGCTTTTGTTATGGTAGTCAGGTATCAAATCGAGCAGGCTTGGTTGTGGACGTAACATTGACACGGTGTCAACCCCAAATGTCACACTTCCATTGAGTGATTTTGACACTGTTACATCCTCATCAAGGTATTGTTTCTGCTATATTTGAACCCTGACTATACCAAAACAAAAGCTTTTCTTGGTGCATAAGGTGTCCAGTTTTTAATATGCAATGTCAGTTTGGGTAATATTTTACATACGTGTAAAATATGGCCAAAAAAAGAATATTTGGAAGTAACATTATGTCCGAATTAATACATTTTTGCTCATATTTTTGTCAAAGTACATACAAATGATTTCAAACTTTCTCAAGTTTCTCAACACCTTAAGACATATATTATGTTGAAAATGCATTGAAAATTTTAATAATATTTGGATGTAACATGCACTGTTTCCCAACCCGTTGGAATGACCCATATACAAGTACCTCAAATTAGTATTCACTTCCATTCTTTCTTTTAGAAACATATCGGGTAATGCTGTAGCCAAACCCCTGAACTGAACTAAAATTGCCTACCATCATGACCATGGCACTTCTGAACTAACGGAACCAAATCAAACTCAGTTGTTTGGTTCAACATGTTCGGCAACGCATATTTTAGTGCCATTTATTTCTACTTACTCAACCTAAATTATCAAAACTTGTAGCATATTTAAAGTCGGGCAGTTTTTCCTTTTAATTAAAAGAAAACATTAGTCAAGGCCGACGTTACCAACTAATAAAAATGAAGGGACATTCAAATGTGTTTTCAACGTATTCATCTTCAATTCTTTACACTTCTAGTACATAAAATATATATTTTTTTATTTAGTATTTAGAATAAAATAAACAGAAAACTAAATGAATATATCAAGTGCAAAAGGCCTTGTGACTTAGTCTTACGGTGTGTGTAGTCATGGCTTTACTGTTCAGTCAAATGCCAGGCCAGAGTCGTGATGGCCTAGTCTAAAGGCTACCTCATGGAACATGGAACCAATATTTTTTGGTGGGACAAGGTCCACTCTTTTCTTTCATGTTCAGTTTTAGCTATATTGGGCCTATTATGTGTAAGCAATAAATAAGCCAACAAATTGAGCTTTAAACCTCACTCGTAAAAATTTCAGATGGAATTTTGCTGATTACAGCCATTTATTTCCAGTTTACTTTGCTGTAGCAATTTCCCACCAGTTTGCGCTTTTAAAAACAGCTCATTGTTGAAACAAATTTGTGTGAATGGTAAGTGCCAGTTATTCCATGACAAAAAAAACTGAATAGTGCAACAGAAAATTGTTTGCTACCGTTCCTTTATTGACTTTGGTGTACTTCCCTTTATTATTTTCATAACAGATCGGTGGTTCCAAGGCAGGCACCTTTGACCCTTATCCTTCTCACTCCAATGATCCTTATAAGCCAAAGAAGAAGAAGGGACCTCCACCAATGAACAACAGTGGCAAGATATTCATGCCTTCACCAGGCCCCAAGTCTGCAACAACCACCTCAATTATCAACCAGAATGTTGTCAGGTTAGTCAGATTAAATTTTGTTCCCAGGGTTATTTACTTGAAAAGCCCCTTTTCTACAATTGTACAAGGAAAGTTCGTCAAATATGTTTCCTGACATGGAATATGAGTTGTATTTAGGAGGAATTGTGCTTAAATCAAACTTACATGGAGAATTTCAGCAGCTTTTCTTCAAAATATGTCTGTGTTTCCTTTCATTGAGAGGTGGTTCACCATGTTATTGTGTATCCTGAGTTACATTAATGGAGGGTAGTTTTTTTTTTTCATATGAAACTTCAATGTATGATTTTGCGAACATTAATATATATTTTTTTTGATTATCTTTTATTTTTTTTTTCTTTTAGAACCATCAATAGCACCAACTTCAGACAAGTCATTGCATCGGTGTAACAAAAGACTGAGCATGTTCAATTCTCAAGGACTGGTATACATTTCCAGATGGCCACTATTGTTTAATTGATTAACCCTCTGAGACCAGGTGGTGTTAAGAGCTGTATAAGCACCACATTAATACTAGTATTAATTATTATAAACCAAGCCACTGCTCCCTTGGTGGAAAAAGTGACGGATATGTTGACATGCCCTGTCCTTTTGTCTGTTGTGATATGTGCTTCCATCTTTTTCTTCACCTACATCTCTAGAAGTTGCCATTGCACAAGTAATCCGTTGGCAACCATCAAAGAGTTGACATTTGCGAGAATAATTTAAAATATTTGTTTTTGTACAGGTACATTTTGTGTATTTTATAAGTACTGTATTCTTCATTTTATATGTAAATATATATATATACAATCCAATTTACAATACTTTTTGATGAACAATAACACATTCAAGTTGCCTTTCTGAAATTCAAAGTGTTTGAAGTGAATTAAGTATAGCTAATTGAAGTAATTAAAGACTTTTCTATCTTACAGCAACTGCCAGAGAAAATGTTGCTGCAATTTGAAAAATTGCATCCATATTGAGTCAGACATGCTCATGAAAGAGAATCATCATGGTACATAATAGGTATTTATATTTGTTAACAATCTGCATTTGTAATACAATTTTGTATAATTACATGTATATTCTTGATGTGCATGAATGATGATTACTTCCCCAACCTTGCATTGCAAGTGTATTTTGCCATTGAACAAAATGTAAATCAGCACGTGATAAGAGCGTGGCAGAATAGGTCATCAAAGTTGTCCCAGTACATACATGTATACATGTACATTTGATTTTAACAACATCCATCAGCAAAGATTTGCCAATAAAATGATGGATAGGTAAACATTTTAACAAGCATGAAGCTTAACATTTTTTTAACATAGACAAGAAACATCATTTTGTAATTTCATTCTTTTAGTTTTTATGCATTGTGTTTAATTACACAATGCATAAAAAAACTAAAAGAATGAAATTACAAAATCATATATGAATATATGATAAGCTTGAAGTATTTAAATTGAAACAAACTGAAGAAAATTTTAGACTGGGCTTGACTCACCTGATGAGCAAGCAGCAGAAGAGCTCCTTATTGGTTGCAGGATCCAACTTTTTACAGTGATGTCAAAAAATACCCAAAACATGATTTATGGCAGCAATGTAGTCAATGTGCGGATGAAACATTTAAAGTAAGAGTGAGACCCTTATATTTAGAAGGATTTAATATTACTTTCAATGTGGAGGACCATCTAGAGAGTTTTATATCTTTCTGAAGAAGTTTGAGCAGCATCTGGCACCTGGACCATACAAAACAGCTTCAGACATCATGCCCATAGACATAATGCATTTACAAAATTATTTATGTGGGCAAGAGTACAGCTCAATGTCTTTATTTTGAATGAGTTTTCTTTTAACTTCTTGAAGATGTTAAGTGTAACAAGGGGTAATGTGAATTTCAACCCACATTACAGAGAATGGCCCATGGTTGAATCATTTAAGCGTTTAAGAAAGTTATTTGTATGAAAATTTCCTTACAAAAATTCCTGAATTTATTGATAGATAATAAAGCTAAAATCAATATACGGAAACCAATGAAACGTGTTGTGTACATGTACATGATATGTAATCAATTTCATGATGGCATGAATGTGTGTATTATTCAGTCCAAAGATAAAAGCTGTGACTTATTCAAAAGAGAAATGTATTCAAATAAATGTTAGCATTTGGTGTATGGAGCTATACATGCACACGACCACCATAGGAACTGGATCTATGGATTCTACACGATACTAGGGTGTTATTTATGACACCTGCCTGCATCAAACAAAAACTTGTCCATTTCGCCTCTTCAAAGTTGGTATACATGTATACAGTTTCAAATTTTTTTTCCAAATGCAATTTAAAGGATATAATGTCCTGTAACAAATCAAACAGCTTGCTTGCATTTTGCAGTTTTGAAAATGGTTTTTAATAGTGCGCTTCAGTTCAGAAAGTTTCTAATAAGTATTCATATCTAGTGACGTTTCAGCTATATACAGATGTATGTTAATTTTTGAATCCTGCGTTTTGTATTGGCCTGGTCCGGCTATGCGGTAATGGCGGCCGGTTTGCGACACTCCTGCTCCCGCGCTATCATGTAGGCATACATGCAGCCAGACCGGCCTGGCTACACTACAGTTCCTACATTCTATCACAATCTCTTTTTTGCATCTGTTTTTGCATCACATTGTTATGATCACATGCAATTTGACCTTTGGGTCACGATTTGTGGTTTTTAATAAAATAATATAGGTTTTCTCGGTCAATTTCGGCAAATGAGCAGCCAATTTAACCACTACGCTATTCTATTTTGCGCGAAATCAAATGCTACTGAAAAGGGTCATTCGATTTCGTTTTTTGACCAGTCAAATGTACTGTTGCGTCATTCGATTTAACAAAATAATCATGCAATTTAACAATTCAACAAAGCAGCATTCAAATTCGCAGGAGCTTTTTGAGGCGTGTGTTTAGACACTCAAATTCATTTTTAGGCAGTCATTTCTGGAATTTGTGCAATCTAAAAACCGCTTTGTTAAATTTTTGTTTCCTAAAGAATGTTGAAGGCATAAATACGGTTCACTTTTTGGCACTTGAGTCACTTTGCCGATGTACTTCGAAGACGAGCTTTCGCTACAGTTTTACACGCATATTTCTAGAAATGGCAGCTCGTGGTCGCTACGCTAGAGTGGCCCAGGTAGATCGAGAAAGGTTGATTGAGGCCTTCGAGGGAAACGAACAAGACTACCTTCAGCTTGCGGTCAATTTGAACATCAACAAGTCCACAGCCAGATCAATTGTTGCAACATATTTGAGGACTGGAAGGCGAGAGACGCTGGCAAGAGGAGGAGCAACCCTCAGCAAGATGGATGATGACATGCGAAACCATCTGCAAGGCATCCTTGACGCTAATCCCGTCTTGACACTTCAACAAATGAAGGCTAGTTTGAGTAAGCATCTGCCAGAGAAGCCCCAGGTTTCTACTGCCACCATAGCCAGGGCCTTGGATGGGATGATGATTACACTGAAACTAGTGGAGGACGTCCCTGATGCAAGAAATTCCCCTGAAGTTCTTGATCAACGCGTCCAGTATGGTGAGTGGTTCCTGCAGCATGGTGTTCTGGCGCATCTAGTCTTCATTGACGAGACAGGTTATAACGTCTGGACTCGACGCTCCCAGGGTAGAGCTCCACGAGGGATCGCTGCAAGACGAGTCGTCGACAGACAACGAGGGAGAAATTGCAATGTCACCTTCGCTGTTTCTAGTGAAGTAGGCTTGGTGCACACCGAATCGCATTCGAAACTGTGACGCGAGAGAGATTCGAGGAGTTTCTTGCGGACACAATTCAAGAGTGTGATGCAGTTTTCCCAGACGACGAACCCATTTACCTCATATACGACAATGCGAGGCCTCACGTGCGAGCCCAACTCCATGAAGGTGCCAACCCAATGATCCAGCTGAAGCGCCTCCCTCCCTACTCCCCATTCCTGAACAGCACGGAGATGGCACACTCTGCATTCAAGGCTGCAGTTAAACGCATCCTTGGGTTACCTGAGTGGCAACAACGTGTCGGAGACGGACAGGCTGCCCAGCAAGCAGGAATGAACATGCAGCAGTGGAGGTGCGATCTCCTTCAACAAGCAGCCATCCAGAGCGTTGATGTCATCCCCCAAGTGAAGTGCATGCAGTGGTACAACCATACCCAAACATATATGCCAAGATGTCTGGCACGCCAACAGATTGATGGTTGAGGAAGAAAACAACATAAACAATAAAAAACCAGGAAAAACATAAAGAAACCCCCCATTCAAACACAATACAAAATTAGGTCTTGGTCAGTTAACCAATAAAGATCCCCCCCCCCAAAAAAAAAGAATGAAGAAGAAAACAAAGAAGAAGAAAAAACCTCATTGGCCCTAAAGTCTACTGGAAGCATAAATAAAGAAAACAAGGTTTGCCTGAATTAAAGTGAAGATACGAAACAGTTGCCTAGTACAGTTTATCTGTTTATTCGTATTTCTTTAGTCATACTTATTTGAATTCTCTTTAAGCGAAATTGATTGCCTCTTTACGAAATTGAAAAAAATTAAATCAGTAAAATCTCCAGTCGAACCAGCTTTGCTAAATTGAATGATGATTGTGTGTCACGAAAAAGAATGACGATATGCTAAATTGAACACAGTGCTAAAGGAATTTGAATGCCTCAAAACGAAAATGAATGGCCGAATTCTGAATTTGAAACGCAGTAACAACTGCAGAGGCAAAATAGCTTCAATTCGAACGCACGAAAATTAAATTGGCTGCTCATTTGCCGAAATTGACTGAGAAAACCTATAATAATTAAAAAAAAAAAAATCTGTTCCTTTCACTGGATCACAAAATCCATGGTGTTCCAAGTCGTTTCATATGTCATTCATGATTGCATTATTGCAACGGTGCGACACTAGCTGTATACCGTATACACACGTATCCGGTGCACAAGCACATTTTTGTACAGTCTGAACAGCTGATGAAATTATTATTCATAAGCTGCACTGTTGCAAATGTGTATAAAGCGTAACTAGGTCCGGCTGGCATCAGATTAGAACTAGAGACGTCCCGCTCCTAATTCAAAAGTTGAAATTAATTAATTGGTTTCTTATCACCGGCCTTTTTTTTTTTCGTGGGATAACTCATTGGAAAGCTCATAACTAATGTAATGCTAGAACATTATCAATTCAATTTGAAAATCTATTTAGGGTGCCATACCCAAAAAGCACATACATGTACATACCAACTTGAATGTTCACTTGCTGTTATCGTCTGGCACTGTGGTTGGCACTTACCATGTACAGATGTATTCCCTTATAGAATCTGCACTGTGGTTACATGTACATGTAAATGTATTTAAATATGCAACTTTGGCAACAAGGTAATGTTCCACTCAAGAAAATGTTTACTTTTTTGGAAAAAAAGGAGGGCTTTTGATACGAGCAGCTCCCATGTTGTAGCTTTAATAGTGTCGCCACACAATCCAGCTTTAGTGATGTGTCAAGACATTTACAAAACACTCTTGTAATTGCCTTGAATTTAAAATGTGTCTTGTCCATGGGGCTCTTGAAAGTGGTAAAAAAGCACCCTCTTTATTTGGCACACAGAGCCCATACACAATTAATTTATGTGATTAGAATGTGTCAAATATTCCCCAAAAATGACAATTCAAGAAACAAGATCTACAAAATATCAACAAAGTTCAACAGGTCTGTTTTACAAATTTAGTCAACCTTGATTGTAAAGCGATTCCAGGAAGTTTTGCGTGAATAGTGGCGATATTGTCCTTGGATTGACCTTGAGAAATTGGTTAACTTTCAATTTTGAGGCTTCTGTTCGTATTTTGAAATCGCCTAACTTTGACTTTACTTAACCTCAGAAGGGAAGGTCAGGCGACTTAAATTTGCCTTCGGCAGCAAAAATGTTTATATAGATATTTTTCTAACGGATTACAAGGTATGAATATGATGGATCATGAGTTATTAACTGAAAGAATTTGGTAATTTTAAAAACTATTATCATTGGTAATTTGATACTTGATGAGGTCGTCATGATGTCAGAGTAATTTAATGCAAACCTTGGGATCAGGGTTGATGTTTGTTCCAGGTTTCAAGTTTATACCATGTACTGTTTAGAAGTCACTAAGAATTAACGTCTGGGGAAAAAAAAAGAGAAACTAAGAAAGGAATAAAACCAACAATATCAAAACGGTGACAGGGTGGTACCCGAACACCCAAAATTATTATGTCCAATACAATCTTGCCATTACAAACTCCAACAGTAGGCCTATTGTTTTCATTTCCTTGCTTGACTTGTGCACAAACGACTTTGTGCAGATTTTAGGATACTTAGTAGGATTCTCTGCAGGATCCTAGCACTGATGAATGATTGACCATTGCAAGGCCTTTCACAATGAAAAGTTTTGGCGGGGCCAGGTTGGCAGCCCCCTCTGATGGCTAGACAATTCCATCAAGAGTTGGTTTTGGAGGGAAATAATTCCGTACAGGCCACCCTGTCACACCTGAACAAGCTGGATATTTTAAACTCCCACCTTCTCCCACTGTTCATTTTGGGCAAAAAAACCCAATTTTTTTAAAGACATTTAAATGTGAAATTTTAATTCGCAATATTTACAAGGGTCAAGCATTTTGCAATGTGAATAAGTGTAAGTGCTTTTTATTGTCTAATTACTGGCTTGAAGTCACATTTCATCTTGAATTTGAAGGTAAACATCACTACATGATATGTCATTATGGTTATTGCTACCGTTATATTGTTACTCTTTGATACAGCATAATTTTTTTTCGGGGGGGGGGGGGGGGGGGGGGGGGGGGGGGGGGGGGGGGGCAGAATAGTGACATTCCCCCTCCCCTCTTTGGAAGAGTTAAAAGTTTACTTGGCATGTGGTACATTGTGGACTTACTTGCCTCGCCCCCGCCCCCCCCGCCCCCCCCCCCCCCCCCCCAGCAAAATCTTGCATATGGCACTGGTCACAGCCACTCCCCTTGTGTGCCATGGGGTTTGGTTGAGCAGTTACCCACTACATGTGCATGCATGTATTTATCAACTGTCATCACTGTCCTGGCCCTGATGTATTGGTTTGGGTGTGCTGTGTGGCTGTCCCCCCAAAATTATATGGCCACGGTTCTGGACCTGAGTGTCTAGTGGGCCTGATTAGCCCCGGGGCTGATTATCCTAACTCTGCATTTTAAAGGTAGAGTATATCGTTTGTCATTTGTGCATTATTTTTTTCTTTTGAAGCAACAAAAGTGCTCAAAATCTGAAGAAGGGTGCTTAACAACTAACCTGATGAAGTTTTAGCTCAGAGAATGCTGTATATTCCAAGAAAACAGTATTCTAGGATCTCGATTTCAATTCAAAAGTTGCCGAGTCATGTTTTGAATTGCGCCCCAAAATAAGCATCCGGGACACGTTCTCATTCAGCCAATTGCAGTTACGCGATGTCAGGCGTTGAACTGACGAATTATAGCAACCGCGCGCACACCATTCAAGGCTTCACTGAATTAAAAACGAACTACAAACGGAAATGTCCAAAAATGTGCTTTAGACGCACCTTTGGAAATGACCTTGTATTGTTTCCTTCAAAATGACAGCATGCCAGAAAGAATAATTTCACAGGGTGTTTAGTGCCATTTCTATCTTTAAACCAAGTATGCTTTTCAACAATAATTTTGTCAGTTACTTTTTGGATAGCTGCAAATGATATAATTTACCTTTAATTACGATGAAATCGATTGTCCATTTCATTGTATGGGACCTCCATGTTGATTCATCATGTGAGACCTCCATGTCCATTTATTACGTAAGCTGGGCCTCTTATCCCATCATGTTGACGCCAGCTTACCTGAATCAACTTGGTATCTGGCAAATGAGTTGATACTATTACCTCAACTGTGACCAAACACGAAGAAAAAAATTCTTCCATACATTAAAGCATCCTCCATGATAGAAGTCATACTATGCTTTTCAAATCTTACACACGTTCAAACGTTTTGGTACAATTTATGGATTCCCCCCTTCCTGTATTACTTACTGTTTTATCACTGTCATGGAGAGTGAATTATTACATCCAGAAAAGGCAACAACCACAACTATGTAGAGTACTACACATCTCATCAACAATATATACAATGTACACCCATGTATTTATTCTTTCTATGATTTCCTTTAAGTGTGGAATGATATCCATCAGTCAATTATAGATTTATCTCTACCAGCTGTGTTTAGCGATAACTACAGGCAGTATCCAATACAAACAATTCAAGAATCTAAAAGCCTGATGATTGTTTAGTTCACAGGTGGAAGATTTAATCGAAAATCACCCAGTACCAAGTACCGCTTGGGTGGGACTTAAAATTGTCAGTGGAAGACATACAAAGTGTCTTCGGTTGTAGTTGGTAAATTGAAATGATTCAAGCCATGCTGTATCATTGCACTAAAGTCAATCAATGGACTGCTTTTTAGGGGAATAACATTTCTATCATGACTCACATTTTTGTACTTTAAATGTAGCAGGCTCACTCTGATCCACCTGCTCATGAGCTTGGATACTGGTAGCTTTCTGACAAGGCAATTTTTGTATGGATGAGTGCATGCTTTTATCCTGGAAGTCAACCAGAGAGCCCTAAAAACTATGATACTTGCAAATCATGAGTCCTCATGTAGCGATTGTTGAGTCCAAGTATGATTCTGGTCTGAGCCACCAATATGTAATCAAGTTCACGTCCTGGACTCGAGTCGTACATCTCTGCCTGCAACAGTGCATTGTTACACATGTATAATATTCAAATAATTTACATTCATATAAAGACTAACTTGACTGCACACAAAAATTCAACCTCAACCCTTTTTTCAGAAAGCTTTGCGAACGTGTGTTAGCATTGACGTTATTCACAGACTCATGTGAATAAGAGACTGTGAATTATGTCAATGTTCATACCTGTTTACATTTTTACAAGGTGTTCAAAACAGTGTATGTATTTGTATTTGGAAAACAGCTTACACCTACAAACGAAATTCGTAATATTCTTAATCTATATGTAGTAAAATGTATCTTCTGAAAGCCCAAGGTACAGCACTTTCTGGAAAATTTCAATCTTTTCCTTAAAGTCGGCTTGCAGTCTCCTTTGCCACCTGAACGAGGAACTGAATATTAATTTTAACCCATAAGATATAATCATATGAAACTAATGTTTTACAGATTCCAGAAACACCAATTAAAATGATGATGCAGGTTGTTGAAGAAAGTAACCTGTGAAAGGTGACTCAAGCCTGGATTTGGCACCAAAACCCCAAATACTAACAAAATTATATCCACATTTGCACACATGGACTACCACTCTGGGGCCACTGTAAAAAGAAATTAACCTAAAACATGCACAATCATTATTTTTGTCCAAATGTCCCTTGTAAAATCAGCTCACTTTACCTTAAGGCTAACAGCATAACTAATATTACAAAAATATCTTTTAAGCCTGAATTGTGGTAATTACATGTAGCTATAATATGGTAAAGGTAGCGTCCATCATTTGTAATTTGTGCGCGTTATGTTTGAAGCAACAAAAGTGCTCAAAATCTAAAGAAGGGTGCTGAACAACTAACCTGATGAAGTTTCAGCTCAGTAAATGCTGTATATTCTAGGATCAATATTCTAGGATCTTGATTTCAAATCTGAGTCATGTTTTGAATTGGGCCTGAATTCAGTGTCTGAGACACCTTCTCACTGAGCCGATTGCAGCTATGCGGTGTCGTGCGTCATGTCAACGCTTGCGCTCGTTTCGCCAAATTAAAAAGGAACTATGGAAATTTCCAAGAATGCGTCTTTAGACGCATTGTTGGAAATTGCCTTCTTTCATTGATATCTTCAATATGACAGCTTGCCAGAAAGAACAATTTCACAGGGAGTTTAGTCTCATTACTATCTTTAAACCAAGTATGCTTTTCAACAATATTACGTCAGTTACTTTTTGGGTAGTTGCAAATGATGGACTGTAGCTTTAAGCATGCTTCAAATGGTTGTTGGTACCAATCCAATGTTTACTTAAAGTACTGTGCTTCAAGTAAGGCTTTCATCAAGTTACTTTTCCGAGTACTTGCAAATAATCCTTTGGACATTAAAATCTGAAACTATAACTATATTAGAAATGATGTCTTCATTTTATATCAATCATCTTCTGTGGTTAACTACAATTGTGTATACTAGTGCAGTGCCCGTCTAAAATGTGCATGTTCGGGAAGTGCAAATTACTTTGCTGCTGGTTTTGGTTGCATGCTTGCAGAGTTTTTGAGAACTGCTCGTACAAACAACGCACGCGATTTAAAGGTGTTGTTTTAACAGGTTGAACGCACACTCACGTCAAAGTTGTTTGGGCAAGTGGTTCCCAAAAAAGCTGCAAAAAATAGCGCAAATATTCACCCCTACTGGACCGTGGTATTGCCCTGCAGTAAGGTTGCTCAGTCGACTGCCTACAAATGGTCGCTCAGTCGACTGCAAAAATAATGTGCCCGTGTAGCCACCACGTACTTGTATACGGAAACATGGTATGCAGTGCTATTCACCCATACTGGACAATGGTATCGCCCTAAAATGCACGTGGGCATGCCTGTCCTTTTTGCATTGTATGCGTCATATTGAGCGCACGCGGTTTAACTTAAACATGATGTAAACAATTGAAAAGAACATCAGTGCGCGGTGTTTTAGGCTAGCTGGCACGTTTGCCCGCAGAAAATACTGCTTTTTTGCAGCTTTTTCGAGAACCGCTCTTCCAAACAACTTCAAACTTGACACTGCACATTCTGTGGTCCCGAGCAATACACCCGCCGACTTTCAACTTCATACGGTGCCCGGTTCTGGAGATAATCGACGTACAGACAGACAGAAAGACAGACAGACAGACAGACAGACAGACAGACCGACAGACGACAGACAGAGATTCCTGGAATTATAGTAAGGATTGTGCATTTCACATGATATTTCAAATTAGATTTTAACTAATTTCCATTCAATGTACCCTTTTTAGCATCAAAATTTGTGTATGATTTGTACATAGACATAAAATAATTGTACAGAAATGCATATGAACTCGGCTGCTTATTCCTCAAGATCCAGTTCCTCAAGAAATTTGTCAAAATCAAAAGGGTCAACCTCTGTGGCCAATGGTTCATCTGTTTTTGTCGATATCTGTGTAGGGCTTGTTTTGTTTTCATGCGACTGCGTTGGTGCTGATACTTTGGCAGATTGCACTATCCCTGACTGTGTCCAATGATTGGAGACCTCTGACCCCTTATCAACCTTGCTTGTAGGGCTTTGTGGAGTTGTATGCTTCCTGTCATGCATCTGAACAACAACTTGGGTCTGATCAGACTGCAGCGCAATGTTTGCAGTAGAATCATTTGTTAATTGCACTATTTCTCCAGTATTTTCTGTAAACTGACTTGGTTCCCTGGTCAACACTTGTTCTTGCAATGCTTCAGCCATGACAAACTCAGGTTCAAAGTCTGAATCCAATTCCAACTGCTCACTGGAAGCTTCTGGCATACTAACAGATCCACCTGATGTCCCTCGATGGCTAACAAGGCCAGTAGCAGGACAATCACGTAGGCTGGCTTCCCCTGTCCTGCTGTATGGGTAAGGTGCCATACCTAAGGAAAAGAATAATCAATTTATGTAACAATGTCACTTTAAGTGATAATCTACTATTATGATTGTACGTAGCAGTACAAGGTCACACTCATCACATGGAATATAAGGACAAAAAAAAGCAAGAACAGATTTAAGTGAAGATTTGCATGCACACAAAGGTTGCACATACCACACTGACCAGTATTCCTAATGATGAGATCAGTCTGTAGATCTTTATATCACTAGGGTTCGATCTTTACATTATACTTCACAAAGCAATTACATTGGCACTGAAATATATGCACACGTACAATGTAAGTGCTGGCATTAATTATGAATGTCCATAAGCAAAGTAATTACATCTAACATGTAGATGTCGCAAAACAGCTGTGTGATTATGATGTTACCTTGCATAGATTATTAACCTTTCTCTCTGCCTTAAAGGGAATGTACAACACCTGCTTTTGCCGCAATTTTCTGAAATAAATGGATTTGGAGGATTAGTATGTTATAGCAGATATTGTTAAAATGACTTGTTTCACATTTTGGGCTTGTAGATGCTGGAAAAGCCAAGAAAACCAATCATGTTCTTGTAGTCTGGTTCCCTGACCCCACTTAAGATGAAACGGAGCAATTTATAGACTTTGGGGAATTGTAAGGTCAGAGAATCAGTCTAGCAGGCTTGTGCCCCTTCACAGGTGTGTAATCAATTGCAAAGAAAACGCAAAATAACTAATTATGAAAAAATAGAAGCAGTTTTTGAAAAAAAGCCAGTTTTTTCCAACACTGGTCGGCCGACCAGCGTTGGAAAAATACTGTTTTACTTTAAAATGAAAACACACCAGAAGCCACGATTTTACAGGATGCTGTAGACTGTCATTCCCAAACAAACCAGTGAGGTATTTCATGATAATTTGATCTTTTCGTTTTGTGATGTTTGCAAATGTTGTATCTTCCCTTTAAGGTTAAAAACAGAAACTCACAATAACACTTGCATTTTGCATGTGAAAAATTGACCACCTTAAATCCATAATTTTATTTCCTCTCCAAAAAACTTTTTTTTTACAAAAGAAAAACGTATTTTACCATATTCCATCTCACTGACCCACCACTCAAATAAAAGGTCTTGTTATCCCCTTTTATTTGATACCACATTTGAGGTTGTGAAGATGTAGTTCTAAATATTTCATACATTTTCCATGAGTCATCTGTGTCTACTTTTAAGTTGAATCGCCCATATTAATAAGCAACATCAAATGCTACACATATACATTCAAAGTTTCATTTGACCAAGTCAAATGGGCATCCTGTGATGAACTGATGCTCAGTTATTCATGCACCGACACAGGATTGCAAAACTTTGTTATGGAAGTAAAAATATAATCAATTAACCATCATATCTCAAAAAAACCTTCATGTCAGCACTTATGAAATATCTCGTGTAAAATACAGTTACAAAAGAGTGTGACTAACAACACAAGTACATAAAAGGGCAATCAGCAATGGCAAACTCAACATTTAGATTTAAATATATTGTAATGAGTCGTCACGGTCCAAGGGCTTTTCTTAGGGAACGATTTAGCCTAAAATTAATGTGAAAATAAAGATCAGACAACAACACGACACAACAAATAAAATTAATGTGACACGGACGCAAAGATGAACTACTCTTCTGATATTCTCTTCCAATTCTCCTCTTGATTCCTCTTTAACAGATCAAATACTTACATTATAAAATCATTTGATTAATTCCACTGTCCATCTAATCGCACACAGTGTGCACGTCTTTACTTGACAAGCTTTGGTTCAGCACTGACTAAAAAAGCGTGAGAACTTAAACGCAATTTCTGCAAGAAAGATTGCACGAAAAACACTTGCGCGTGCATTGTCATGCCTGGATCCCCAGTTACCAAGATAGCGCGCATGCTGAGAGTGGCTTCGAACACCCCTAATAACCCCAGTCACCTAGATCAAATAATAATAATAGTAATAATTAATTCTTATATAGCGCATTACATAAGAAATCTCAATGCGCTTTACACACAATTTATTATCATACATATAAAAAGCTTAATTCAAAATTTTACTAAAATCCATTAAAATGTTTAGTTTGAATGTTATTAGAATACATTTAAAAAGCTCATAAAAATACCAGTACATCAAAAAGTTAATTAAAATATACGGTAAGACTCATTAAAAATGCATTAAAAATCACAATCACCTGGAAAATTACTTAGTTACGAAAAAATACTATGTTTTAGTGCAAACTAAAAATTTAATTTCATCATTTGCAGCAGATAAATAAAACTACATCATTTGGAGCGGTTTATCTATCTGAAGGCAATTTTAAAAAGATATGTTTTAAGAGACTTTTTGAAGTGATCAAGTGAGTTTGAATCTTGAATAAAGGCCGGTAAAGTGTTCCAGAGCAGGGGAGCTAAAAGCAATCACTGTAAAAAGCAGTGTGTCCTCCATGTGGTTGTTGAAGGAGGCGTTGTGATGATGACCGGAGACTGCAATTTGGTTGATACTGGGTGACAATCTCATGTAGGTAGACTGGGGCAAGCTTATTCAAGGTTTTGTATGTGAGTAGCAAGATTTTGAAGATGATTCTTTTTGCGACAGGCAACCAGTGCAGATTGTAAAGCACAGGTTGTATGTGGTCACGATATTTGGTGCCTGTCAACAGCCTAGCAGCAGAGTTTTAACTCTCTGCAACTTGGAAATGTCACACGCAGGGAGACCACAGAGGAGACTGTTGCAGCAGTCCAACCGACATGTCACAAATGCATGTAGGAGTACCGGTAGTTCTGTTGTATTTTTACTGACGACGGCCAAGTAAAAATAAAGTGAACCAATCTAGTGCAGTGCCTGAGATCCCATAGCGGTGTTGCAGGCGTCTGAGTAAGATACGATGATCAATCGTATCAAAGGCCGCAGAGAAATCAAGCAGCATTAAAATAGCTTCCTGATGGCGATCAACTGCTTGGAGGAGGTCGTTCTGCACTCGGACAAGTGTTGTCTCTGTTGAAAGAAGTCTATGATATGCCGATTGTCTTTGGGCAAACAGACCATTCTGCTGTAGGTAGGCATTCAGCTGGGAAGATGCAACCCTTTCTATTGCTTTGAATACAAATTTCAAATTTGATATCGGCCTGTAATTGTTGAGTTGTTTAGTATCAAGTAATGGTTTCTTGATCAGCGGGACAACTCTAGCAGTTTTAAGTTCTGGTGGCATTTGCCCGGTGGTCAGCAATTTGTTGATGATGCCCGTGATGCAAAATAGTAAAGAATCTATGCATTGTTTGAGGAGTGTGCCAGGACGTGGATCAAGGGGGCATGACTTAGTTCTTTGTGGACTGCGATTTCGGAGACTGCACAAAATGAGTTGAACGTACTTTCACAAGATTCCAAAATCTCGGCACATTCTGCCGGCTGTGCGATGTCAAGATTGCCGCAAAGAGTCTTGATCTTGGTGTAGAAGAAATCCACAAAGTCGTTGGCCAATGTCTGAGCACAGTCATGTGGAGGAAAGACTTGGCGTGTACTTGTACTAGCTTGAAACAAGCTGTCAACGAACTGAAAAAGTTGCCGGACATTACAGCCAGCCACTTTGGTCCAATACAAACACTTCGCCTGCTCCAACATCCGTCTCTACTCCTTGCATTGATTGCTGTGAAGCTGTTTATCAACATGAAGTCCCGAGGCAATCCAGGCACGCTCACGTTGGCGACATTTAACCTTAGTTACTCGAAGGGCGTTGGAATACCATGGAGCATTTGGCCGTAAGGTTATCAGCCTAGATTTCATTGGAGCATGCAAGTCCAACAACTCATTTAACACATGTTCATACTGTGCAACAAGGTGGGACAGATCGCCTGATGACCTATCAGTGGCTAGGGTTGAACTGTCGATGTCACTTTTGAGTTTGACTACATGGACTTTCTGCAGCTCGCGAAACTTGACCAACTTCTTTACAGAACGAGGACGGGAAATATCGAGGTGGCACTTGACAGCATGGTGATCAGAAGGCAGCCCATGGACAACCTCTATGTTGGTGACCGCGTGGTCTGACGTCCTAGTAATCACCAGATCGAGAGTATGACCACGTTGATGTGTGGACCCAATGACGTGCTGCTGGAGACTTGGAGAATCCAATATTTCTCGAAAGATGGCAGCATCCCTGTCATCCATGACGTCAAGACGAAAAATGAAATCCCCATCCATAAATAAACGGCCAGGGTGTATAGTTGTTGTCTCTAACAAGGTAGAGAAGTCCCTGAAGAACATGGTACTAGTCGATGGTCGATAGATGATAACAAGTCTAATGGACGAACTACCAATCGACATGCCGAAATCCATGTGCTCGAATGATCGAAATTTTGCAGGTGATTTTGCTTATCAACGATACCTTGATGAGCAAAAAGGCATAGGCCACCTCCTCTGCCGTGGGCATGAGGTTGATTGTAAATGTTGAAATGAGGCAATGTTTTGCTTATATCAGCAAGTGGACAGCTGTCACGATCATCACCCGATAACCATGATTCAGTGATGGCAAGGAGGTCTATTTTCTCACCAATAATAAAATTGGTTATGGAGGTAGTTTCCTTTTCAATGAGTTCACATTCCATATTGCAATCTGTGACTTTTGCGTATGTTTAACAGCAGGCAGCTTCTGAACCAGAACTCGCACTAAATTTGATTCAGAGTTGGAATTGAACAACTCTTACGTAATCTGCCTCCACAGTAGCCCCTCTTTGTTGGACGTGCAATGTTAAGCAGGTTAAGTTCATGCCACTTATCAGGGTTGAAAGGTAGGGCTACAAAGCAGCGGGCAACAGTGTTCTTTATAGCCAGTAGTGCACTTAAAGAGTACATTATACGAGGCATCATGGTACTGATGAGTATGCAAATATGGCCAATGTGCACAGAGAATGCATGCTGCAGTGCAGTTCCAAAGTCAAAATAACGTATTGCAGATGTCCTTAAAGCGTACATAATGCAAATGTCACAAAATTGG